TAATCCCACAAAATGCCACAGGCTTAGCAGAAGCTATTATGAAAAGTAAGGGGAAGAATGATCCAGAATTCTATATTGATTGTCAGGGGACAATAATCATTTCTGCAATCGGGCATATGTCCTTTGAAAGGGTTTATGAAAGCAAACCTCACAAGGGCAACCAGAACTCTGAGGTGTTCACTCTGCACACCTCAGACCCCTACAATGTAGTAAAGGTGACAGCCAAAATAGAAAGTCACAAACTCACACTGTTCAATGACCAATTTTTGGAAGTTGAGACTGATAAAATATGTATTTACCCAGAAGATTATTTTCCTGTTAGCACCTCTGGGTGTAATTTTGATAATAATTTGTATTGGGCTGATGACACAAGGGGGAAACATAAACTGCAGGCACTGGACTTCAGCAGTACAGGAGCAGCCGTGTGCAAGGCCATTCAAGAGGGAAAGGCTGGTGATCACATTGCCACATGTGTTTGTGCATGGTGTGGTGAAAGGTCTTAACCCCTGACTTCATGTGCTTTGACAGCAAGATGGTTCTGGTATTTAGAAATGGGCCTTGTGCATCATATGCTTCATAAGAGCTTGGAAGACTCTCACCCAAGTATTGCAAAATGCCAAACATCTCTGCATGCTTGCCATGTTCTCCCCAAAGTAAAAATTCATTCTAGGTGAAATTCTGGCCTTGGATGCCGAGTAAATAATCAGGATTGTCAAGTGCCCTTCACTCTTTCTGGGTCTATGGCAAAAAGGAGACACTGAAAGGCATTAAATTTACTGCCACCTTTAGAAGAACTTATCAAAGAAACACTCTGACTCTCCCCATCTGACTGTTGTAGTCATATGCCGCCAACACCAACCTGAATTTTTATAGCAATTATTACATAATGATCACAATCACATTCAAGTCCACATTCTAAGTCTTAGCCAGGTTTTACAGAAACGCTGATGATGTTCTGTAGACCTGTTAGTGGCTACAATCAATGACTTTGGAAGATAAATTTGGCTTGCTCACTGTTTCAACAGAATATACTGGTGAATCCTGCTCTGTCAGTGTATCTCACATGTGTGTCTGTCCCTCTTGTTGTGTTAGAATTCAGTGTTCCAGAATGTTAACTTCTACAAATACCTGTATATAGAGCAAAAGAGAAGCTCTTCAAGGCAAATACAGTGTATGTTGTATAAGGGGAGCTCTCTAGCCTTGACTTTGAAACTGTGATGTTTATCGTACAGAAATAAAGTGTTCCTTTTTTATATTTTATTTTTAATTTTTGTGAATACAAAGTATTTGTGGGTTACATGAGATGGCTTGATATAGGCATGCAATGTGAAATAAGCACATACCCTCAATCATTTATTCTTTGAATTGCAAATAATCTAATTACACTTTTTATATTCTTTTCAAATATATGATTAAGTTATTATTGACATTAGTGACCTAGTTGTGCTAGCAAATATTAGGTTTTAGTCATTCTTTCTATTTTTTTGGTAGCTGATAACAATTCCCACCTCCTCCCACCCTGTCAGTACCCTTCCCAACTCTGGTAATCATCCTTCTACTCTCTATGTCCATGAGTTCAATTGTTTTGATTTATAAATTTCAGAAATAAGTTAGAACATGTGATGTTGGTCTTTGTGCCTGGCTTATTTCACTTAATGAGGTTCAGTTCCACATATCTAGTTGCAAATGACTGGCTTTCATTTTCTATGGCTAAATAGTACTCCATTGTATATCTGTATCATATTTTCTTTCTTTTCTTTTTTTATTATTATACTTTAAGTTCTGGGGTACATGTGCCGAATGTGAAGATTTGTTACATAGGTATACACGTGCCGTGGTGGTTTGCTGCATCCATCACCCATCATCTACATGAGGTATTTCTCCTAATGCTGTCCCTCCCGTTTCTGCCACCCCCTGCTATCCCTCCACTAGCCCCTCCCACTCCCCAACAGGTCCTGGTGTGTGATGTCCCCCTCTATGTGTCCATGTGTTTTCCCTCTTATGAGTGAGAACAAGCATGCACCACATTTTCTTTATCTATTCATCTGTTGATGGACACTTAGGTTGCTTCCAAATCTTAGTTATTGTAAACAGTGCTACAACAAACACAAAAGTGCAGATATCTCTTTGATGAACTGATTTCCTTTCTTTTGGGTATACACGAAGCAGTGAGATTGCTTGATGATATGGTTGATATGGTAGATCAATGTTCAGATTTTTTGAACGACCTTTAAACTGTTCAAGGAGATGGGCCTTTTGTGATTATTTCATTGAGATATCCACCCTATGAGTATTTGAAAGGAATGCAAGTTGCTGGAAAATGAGAATGAAGAATGCAAAGTAATCAGGCTACAGTGTCATGTCACTTTTCATTCTGAGGTGAAAAAGGGAGTGTGTTTAATAGAAAATGTCTTTCCAAGTGAGACTCTGTCTCAAACAAAAAAAAAGAAAAGAAAAGAAAGAAAGAAAGAAAAAGAAAATATCTTTCCAGGGTAAAATTTTAGGTGTATTGTTTTAGTGTCACAGTCTTGGATGATGGGCCCCTGGAAGCTCTCAACATCTCTTCTTGAGTGGAGAGAGTGTTAAGCCCCAAATCAGATGGAGTAGTACATTTTCATCTTTTGACAAGAGGGCAGCAACTTGATTACTTTGAGTGCTATTCAACAGTCTCTGCTTTAATTGAAAATGCAATGCAAGCCAACTATGCTGCTGCTAACTCCTTGCTGGACCTGTTCTGGTACCATCACAGAAACTGTGGTCTCACTGGCAATTGATTAACTAGGGACCCTTGAATCTTGGATGACTGCTGAAAAAACATTATCTTCAAAGCATTTTAGCCGCCAGAGGAATACTAACTTTTCACATATCCCACATCCATCAATATCTTGAATCATGCTTGATTCTGAATAATTCTTAGCAAGCCATGTTAAGTGGGCTATCTGGTCTTGGATTTGAAATGGTGTTGTTTATTATACAAAAAGGAGATTGTCCTGTTGTAATTATTTTATTGAGAAAGTCAACATCCGAACACTTAAAAAATGCAAGTTGCTGGAAAATCAGAATGAAGAATGCAGAATGATCAGACTACAATGTACCATCAAATTTGATTTCAAGAAATTACAGGAAAACTTTCCCCAAGTTCCATCTAAAAGAATTTAGTTCTACAAAGAATTCCAAAATAAATTCGATTTTCTTTCTTTTTTTTTTTTTTTCTCAGATGGAGTTTTGCTCTTGTTACCCAGGCTGGAGTGCAATGGCGCGATCTCGGCTCACCACAACCTCCACCTCCTGGGTTCAGGCAATTCACCTGCCTCAGCCTCCTGAGTAGCTGGAATTAAAGGCATGTGCCACCATGCCCAGCTAATTTTTTTTTTTTTTTATAGTAGAGACGGGATTTCACCAGTTGACCAGGATGGTCTCGATCTCTTGACCTTGTGATCCACCCCCATCGGCCTCCCAAAGTTCTGGGATTACAGGCGTGAGCCACCACGCCCGGCCAATAAATTCAATTTTCTAATTTTCTAGAAGAGTTTTAAATGGTTTTTACTCATTCTTCATCTCAAGTATCAACAGATAAGTTATTTTGCCAGATAATTCATGACTATGAAACTCAAAAATATTCCAGTATCCACATTGCTTACATCATTAGGCATAGATTCAATGTTAGCTATGACAATTGAAGATAAGCTCTTTTGTGATTTAAAGGTGTAAATGCCTCTTAGCAAACTGCTTGATCCAGATGCAGCTGTGCAAATTCTAAAATGATTTCTGGAAGATCAACTGACTTCAGAGAGGAGAGGAGTGGCCACAACCCACCTGAAATTAAAAAAAAAAAAAAAAAACTATGCAGCATGCCAAATTAGAATGAAAACAGAGGTACAAGATTATAAACAGAATGCATCAAACTTGTCTTAAGTTTACCTAAAATTTACTTTCGTCAGGCAACTTCGATCAACATTAAATTGACATTCTAAACTAACAAGGCTTTAGAATTTTTCCATGTTAGTAAACATTCCCTATATTATTAATTTTATTATCCAAGGCTAATTCTGAAATGTTTAGTAAAATTTAAAAATCAGTCTTCTGGCGATCATTTAAAAATCTGGAGACAACAGATGCTGGAGAGGATGTGGAGAAAAAGGAACACTTTTACACTGTTGGTGGGAGTGTAAATTAGTTCAACCATTGTGGAAGACAGTGTGGCGATTCCTCAAGGCCTTAGAAATAGAAATTCCATTTGACCCAGCAATCCCATTACTGGGTATATATCCAAAGGACTATAAATCGTTCTACTATAAGGACACATGTACACGAATGTTCATTGCAGCACTGTTTACAATAGCAAAGACCTGGAATCAACCCAAATGCCCATTGATAATAGACTGGATTGGAAAAATGTGGCACATATACACCATGGAATATTATGCAGCAATCAGAAATGATGAGTTTGTGTCGTTTGTAGGGACATGGATGAATCTGGAGAACGTCATCCTCAGCAAACTGACACAGGAACAGAAAATGAAACACCGCATATTCTCACTCATAGGCGGGTGATGAAAAATGAGAACACATGGACACAGAAAGGGGAGTACTAAACACTGGGGTCTATTGGGGGGAAAAGGGGAGGGCCAGTGGGAGGGGGAGGTGGGGAGGGATAGCCTGGGGAGAAATGCCAAATGTGGGTGAAGGGGAGAAGGAAAGAAAAGCACACTGCCATGTGTGTTCCTACGCAACTGTCTTGCATGCTCTGCTCATGTACCCCAAAACCTAAAATCCAATAAAAAATTAAAAAAAAAAATCAGTCTTCATTGATCAAAAAAAGGAAGTTTGTTAAATTTAGTACTTTCCTAATTAAATTGGTCATTGTTGGTCTTTTTGTTTGGGACTTCTGCAAAACTCCACTGAAAATAAATTAGTAGAGCCGGTGAGGAGAGAGGACATGGGGATCCTGGGGAGCAGCCAGACTGGTGAATTCTGGCCGCTTCTCCGCACATTCTCCTCACGCCTCCTGACAGGTTGCGTAGGAGGATGTGTCTGGTATCTTGAAAGAATAATAATACAGGTATCCCCTCACAAGTTCTTGCATCTTGTCAGGAATGTCAATGAGCAGTGGATTACATTTCAGCACTTTAGCTTCCTCAGACGCATGTATGTCACACGGCTGAACAGAAGTCACAACCAGCAAGTAAAACCCAAGCCAGAACAAGTAGCATCTACTTTCCTTGAAAAAACATCTTCAGGTCAAGCCAAAGCAGAAATATATGAGACGAGACCTCTTTTACCACCCAGCCTTTCTTTGTCCAGAAAACCAAATGAAAAGGAATTGATAGAACTAGAGCTGGCCTCAGAAATTGAAGACCCAATAGATGTAGGGAAAGAGACAAAAGACGAAAAGCAGTGAAAAGAGATGAAGATGCAAGTGAGTGATTTGCCAGGAATTTTGGCTCAACTATCCAAAATCAAACTCACAGAGCTGGTAGTAAGTACCACTTCAGCTGGATTTGTATTGGCTTTAGGCCCTTTTGACTTGCCCTGTTTCCTGCTTACTTCTATTGGGACAGGCCTCACATCCTGCGCTGCCAACTCCATCAGTCGGTTTTTTGAGGTACCATTTGACTCAAACATGAATAGGACAAAGAACAGACCTCCGGTTCGTGGAGAGATCAGCCCATTGTTAGCTGTGTCTTTTGCCACTTGATGTGCTGTTCCCGGGGTTGCCATTCTGACCTGGCGCGTGAATCCACTCACAGAAGCTCTGGGGCTCTTCAACATTTTCCTGTATACCTGCTGCTACACACCACTGAAGAGGATCAGCATTGCTAACACATGGGTCGGAGCCGTGGTTGGGGCCATCCCGCCTGTCATGGGCCGGACAGTGGCCACGAGCACCCTCGATGTTGGCACGTTACTCCTGGGAGGAATCCTCTACTCCTGGCAGTTTCCTCATTTAAACGCCCTGAGCTGGGGCCTCCGTGAAGACTACTCTCGGGGCGGCTACTGCATGACGTCGGTCACCCACCCGGGCCTGTGCCAGCGCGTGGTGCTGTGCCACTGCCTGGCCCTGCTGGCGCTACCCATGGCAGCCCCCGTCCTGGAAATCACCACTTGGACTTTCGCCGTCATTGCCCTCCCCATCAATGCCTACATCTCCTACCTCTGCTTCCACTTCTACGTGAACGCAGACCGCAGGAGCTGGCGGAGACTGTTCTTCTGCAGCCTGTGGCACCTGACGCTGCTGTTACTGCTCATGCTTACCTGCAAGCAGCGGGGCGGGGCGGGGCGGGGGCCCCCTCCCAGCTGAGCACGTGGGGACGCCCACAGCTCCTTTCCCTCTGCTGCCAGGCGAGCGTGCTGTGTTAATTCTGGATCACGAGAAGAGAAATTGCTGGGTTTAGAACAAAATTACAAACGAATTTGGTGCTCTATGATCACTTGACAATTTTTTAAAGAATAAAAGCCAAAAAACTCCCCAAATTAAAAAAAAAAGAAATTAGTAGAAATTATTCCTAAAAACCAAAAACTGAAGAATTTAGTCAATTGTTTTCACAAAGAAAAGAAGGAAATTTGCTTAATTAGGAGAGCGGATCATCCCTATTATTTTTGTTGTTCTTGATTAGTGTTCTGAGACAGATATAATGGCAAGTAATTACACAATTAAAATAAATATATAGATTTTTATTTTATTATTCATTTATTTATTTGAGAAACAGTCTCACTCTTTCATCCAGGCTGGAGTGCAGTGGCATGGTATCAGCTCCCTACAAACTCTGCCTCCAGGGTTCAAGCGATTCTCCTGCCTTAGCATCCTATATAGCTGGAATTACAGGCATGCACCACCATACCAGGATTATTTTTATATTTTTAGTAGACAGGGGTTCACCATGTTGGCCAGGCTGATCTCAAACTCCTGACCTCAAGTGATCCTCCTGCCTCAGCCTCCCAACATGTGGGGATTACAGGCATGAGCCACCATGGTGGGCCAAGACTTTTTTAAATAAGGGGAAAAAATAGTTAATGCAAAGCCCTTGAAATCATTATGGCCTAATTCTAAAGTTCTTTACTACTATGCTATAACTCAGCATCAGTTAAGGGCTCACTCTGGAACAGGTGCTACATTACATTTAAGCAAATGTCAAAAGATCCCTGTGTGATAACAGGCTTCAGTGTTGAAGTTTGTGTGCGTGTACTAGTCTTGAAGTTTCTGGTGTCCACTAATCCAGTATTAGTCTAGACACCCACAAATCTAGTTAGACTTCAGAGTAGAACTGAGAGTAATCCTTACCACAGGAGACTGCAGTGTGGCGTCTATTGGGAAATTATTTTCCTTGATTGTTCTTTGCCTTCTATGAGTTCTTCAATGTAGAGAATATTTTTACATTGTTATATGGTTAAACTGATTAGTCTTTCTCTTACACTTCTCCCTCTGTGATCTTACTTAGGTTTCTCCTACCCATACTATTATACACCTATTTACAATATTTTTTCTTATACTGTTTTTTGACTCATTTTATTTTCAGCTATTTTAGTATAACAAAAATGGTATCAATTAATTGCGAAAATACTAAAGTGACATATAAATTTCTGAAGTGCGTATTTTGATTTTACCAAGGAGATGGAGGGAATGCTGTGTTATGTTTTTACATACATTTTTGCTGTTACATAGATGAAGCATCTTCTCACTTGTTAATACATGATGTATACTATTTCTTCTGTGCATTTTCTCTTTAAATTCTTCACTCATTTTCCACTGGGGTTTGCAAGGTTCAAATTATTTGAATAACCTCTAAATATTCTGAATGCTCCCTTTATGTTATATATACCGTGTAAATATTTTCTTCGAGTCTGTTATTTGTCTTTTAACCTTATCAATAGTTTGCTAAAATGGTTTTTTTTAGGTAGTAAAATTTGTCCATCTTTTACTTCGTGATATTTGTATTTCATGTTATGAATCAAAGGCATGACTATTTTTCAAATTTAGTTTTTTGCAGTACTGATTTTATTTTTTATCTCAGTCTTTATGTTATTTGAAATTCATTATTGTTTGTTTTTTCACACTTCAAATAATACCCAAATTTCTCAAAGCAATTCTTTTCTCTACTGATTTCAAATGCTACATTTGTCATCTCTGGAATTCCTATATATTTCATGTCTGACTGCCACACTACTGCTGTGGATGTGTTTTGTACCAGCACAGTACTGAAGGGTTGTCAAATGATCTGGTATCTGGTAAAAGTGGACTTCCACTCACTGTTGCTTTCTTTTTTCCAGAGAATAAAGAAGTGATTTTTATATTGGTTCTCATTTTTGTATTAACTTTGAAGTAGTTTGCCCAATCACATGCCAATTACCATCTGTTGAAATTTCAGTGTTTTTAGATGTGAATTTTAGGAGAAAAACCATCTTTTTTTTTTAGCACTTCAGATTTTTATTGTCTTTCTTTCAATTCAAAATATATTCTAAATTTCATTTCAATCGTTGTTTCTTTATGAATTATTTAGAAGTCTGATATTTGATTTCCAAACACTTGTGGTTTACTAAGTATCTTAATAATATTGACTTTTTTTCTGTTTCAATTTTTATTTTAGTTTCAGGGGGCACATGTGCAACTTTGTTATGTAGGTAAATTGCCTGTTGCTGGGGTTTGGTGGCCAAACAATTTAGTCACTGACGTAGTGAGCATAGTACCTGATAGGTATAGGTAGTTTTTCAGTCCTCACCCCTTTCCACCCTCTCCTCTCACACAGGCACCCTGTGTAGTATCGACTGGTCCCTTTTTTGCCCATGTGTAGTCAGTGTTTAGCTCTTACAGGTGATAATATGTGGTTTTTGTTGCCTCATCCTGTGTTAATTTGCTTTGTTAATTTGGTATATATAGCCTCCAGCTACATCCATTTTGCTGCAAAAGCCATAATTTCATTCTTTTTTGTGGCGCATAGTGTTTCATTGTGTATGTACTACACGTCTTTATCTAGTCCACCATTGATGCGCCTCTGGGTTGATTCCATGTCTTTTCTATTGTGAACAGTGCTGTGATAAACATACAAGGACATATGTCATTTTGGTAGAATGATTTCTGTTCCTTTGTATATAAACCCAGTAATGAGATTGCTGTGTCAAATGGTAGTTCTGTTTAAGTGCTTTGAGAAATCTTCAAACTGCTTTCTACCATGACTGAATTGATTTACATTCTTAGCAGCAGTGTGTAAGTTTTCTCTTTTCTGTAACCCTACCAACATCTGTTATTTTCTGACTTTTTATTACTAGCCATTCTGATTGGTGTGAGATGGTGCCTCACTGTGGTTTGATTTGCATTTCTCTAATAGTGATTTGAGAAGTTGAGTATTTATTCATATGCTTGTTGGCTGCATGAATGTCTTTCTTCTTTTTAGCTGGAACACTCACTTTATTGTTAACTGATGGAAATTTATCAGTACTTAAGGTGCTGAAATACTGACGTACTGGTCAGGAACCCTGTTAGTTGACTAGTTGCATCATACCCTACTGGATAAGTCACAGGAAGATTTTATTATACCTTTTGTCATTTTGCCTAAGTCATTAATGACAGCTTTAGTCGATAGATACAAAGTGTGTAAGGATAGCAGGAGATCCAGCTCCTTGGTCTGCTGTATTCCTAAATAAAAAAGTTTGGAAAGCTGATTAAGGCATTTCATTAATTAAGCCTTGAAACCAAATATATGCCAAGGTTCCTGCTTGACATGTGTTCCTCAAAAGACATTATCTCAACATATAAAAAGCTAAGAAAGCCACATTTAGGGGAAAATATCATCTACACAGTATATTAGCTCTTCAACATGACAGAGAAAAAGCAAAGATTGGGTCTTCTCTTCACATACTTTGACAAAATACCGTATAGTCTGGCCAAAAGATGTAAGTGTCTTGATAATTTGCTCTTTTAAACCTTGCTAATAGAGATAAATAAATGCCCATCACATACACATTAACTAATCTAAACAGATGAATCACACAGGTCACTTTTCAGAACCTACTTTAATATGTAAACAGAGTCACTGCAGATCAATACAAAGCTCACCCTTTTCCAGAAAAGTAGATCTATGTAATACTTCTAGGATTTGACATCATTGGGAAGACACACGCAGTTTAAGAAATGAACTGTTAAATCCACAATAGCTAGCATAGTACTATGTCATATCACCAAGTGCCTTTTTAATTAGTTTCATATTCCTAGGCTTTCCTTTTGTTTCTGCAGTACTTAATAGGAGAACTGAAGCAGAATCCAACGAGAAAGTTCTAGTCAACTGAAAGACTTTAAATCAGAAAGTTTCTTGCTGTCACTGGATAAGCAAGTAAGGGATCAACCACAGAAACTAGACATCCAAGTTATCCTCTCCTGAAACAGTCCCACAATCTACTATGCAAATCGAGAATCCTATAACAAGGATAAGAAAAATGTTTACAGTCTATCCCATTATCCAAAATTCTCTCAGAAGCTTAAACCAGATATAAACAATTTTTTGAAAACCAGAGACATCACTTCTGCTAAATGACTACTAATCAGTTTTTCCTCAAATTTGCACACAGTACCTTACATAGACAAGTATTTATACTTATCGAATGGCATTTTATATTGGCATCCACCTGGTATGTGCTGCATGGTAGCCCTTCCTGCACAAATACTACTGAAGATGGAGATGCACTATGATTTAGCTGCTCCTTCAGCTTGACATGAGCTTGCAGGATGGAGATGCGCTATGATTTAGCTGCTCCTTCAGCTTGACATGAGCTTGCAGGATGGAGATGCACTATGATTTGGCTGCTCCTTCAGCTTGACATGAGCTTGCAGGATGGCTGCAGATTCCTGTAATGAGCTCTTTTCTATAGGCTGAGCTGTGTGGATGGTATAGAGGTACTCAGGTGACTGTGGTAGAGAGCAGGCAATTGCTTGTTCTGTTCCAACCACAAAAAACGTAGTATCTGACCCTACAGGAGTAAGGGGCTCCGGCTGGCTAGCCTGACTTGCAGAACATGGATTGTTGTTGTTAGAATTAGCTAGAATATGTTGGCCTCTGTTAGACTGAGATGTTGGGCACTGATTCTCAACAGGCTCCACCTTTACCAGCTCCAATTTAGGGGAGGAACGAACTCATCTACTATCTGAAAGACAGCCTCTAGGCTTACTTCTGTCTCTTTATTTTCATCAGTAGTACTGCAGGGCCAATTGGAAGGCAGAAATTCAACTGGATAGGAGGATTGCATTGAAGGATTCTGGAAGTAGTTGCAGTGTGCATAGGAAGAGGCAGCGGCAGTGACACTACTTAGAGCATCCATGCGGGTAGAACAGCACTGCAGCACAGCTGTTGGATAGTAGCTTGCGAGTACTGTGCTCAGGGTGTGTAGTTACTATATTTTTGGGAGGAGCTTACCATTGTTTGAGGACCTTGTTGAACATGTACAGATGTGGCGCTGGGCTGCAGCGCATAGGTAACCTCAGCTGGGGACCTCTGGAGTACAGGAAATGGAACCCCTTTATCTGAAAATGTGGGCGATGTCTCCACTTGTCCAGGGTGCATTCCAAGGGATTTCTGCCATATTCTATGAGGAATTGGGGTCCGATCTAAACTTTTCATAGGAAAAGTACTGTGGTCGTGGGATGAAGTTCCGTAGGAGTAAGGAGACAAACTATTTCGCCGAAATGACCGGCGACATTGTCCTACAGCCACTGGTCCCTGCGGCTCGGGCCGGGACCCCGCGGACGGCGGCGGCGGCTCCTGGTGCTGCAGCGGGGTCGGGGCGGCGGCCGAGGCGGCGAAGGCAGAGACTGAGGTGATGAGCAGCCGCTGGAAGCGGTTGGGCGGGCGGCAGGGAACCTCCAGGCCGGCCTCCAGCTTGGCCTTGTTGGCTCTGGTCAGGCGCTTGAGGTGCACGAGCAGCTGCGGCTGGTCGCGGCGGAAGTGCGCGCTGTGGAAGAGGTGGAGGGGCCGGTCCCCCGCCGCCCCCCGGCCCGGCCCTGGCCCTGCAGCCCCCGGCCCGCCCAGCACCGCCTTGCGGAAGCCGCGGAGGTTGAGCTGACGGATGAAGCTGGTGAAGTTGCTGGGTTTGAAGAGCTCGGGCTCGGCCCCGGCCCCCGCGACCCCGCCGCCGCCTGCCGGCCCGGGTCGCCGCTATCCCAGCGGATGAAGAGGTAGCGCGGGCTGTTCAGCAGACGCCACAGTTTGGCGGGAAGTTGTCGGGGTTGATGCGGGTGGAGAGCAGCGCCTCCTCCATCGCCCCGCGCGGCCCGGGCCTCGCCCCTCCCAGCCAAGCTCTCCCACCCCGTTCTCCATTCCCCACCAGCAACCCCCAGCCCCCGGCCTTCCCCTCGCCCTGTCCGCTCCTGCCGGCGCCAGGCCGCCGCGGACCCCATGAATGTCATTTGAGAAGTGTCTCTTCTTGTCTTTTATCCATTTTTTAATGGGGTTGTTTTCTGCTTAAAACTTTGTTTAATTTCTTTATAGATTCCGGATGACACTTTTGTCAGGTGCATAGTTTGCAAAACTGTTCTCCCATTCTGCAGGTTGTCTGGTTACTCTGTTGATAGTTTCTTTTGCTGAGCATAATCTCTCTAGCTTACACATATCACTAGCTCACATAGTACCATGTGTCTATGTTTCTGTTGCAATTGCTTTTGGAGACTTGGTCTTGCTATGGTTTATGTCCAGAATGGTATGTCCTGGTGACTTTTTGTTTAGGATTTTTATAGTTTTAGATTTTGTCATGTAGGTCTTTAATTCATCTTGAATTGATTTTTGTATGATAAAAGGAAGTGGTCCAGTTCGAATCTTCTGCATTTGGCTAGCCAGGATAGTTTGAAGAGTTAGGTAGTGTGTTGCCTCCAGCTGTATCCTTTTTGTTTAAGATATTCAGACTATTTTTCGGTTTTATATAAGTTCTAAACAAGTTTCTTTTCTCATTCTGTGACAAATGACTTGGTAGTTTCATATAATAGTATTGAATCTGTCAATTACTTTGGGCAGTAAGGCCATTTTAACATTATTTCTTCCCGTTCACGAGCATAGAATGTTTTTCCATTGGTTTGTATCATCTCTGATTTATTTATTTATTTATTTATTTATTTCTATCCTTCCTTCCTTCTTTTCTTCCTTCCCTCCCTTCCTCCCTCCCTCCATCCATTCCTTCCTTCCTTCCATTCTTTCTGATGGAGTTTCGCTCTTGTTGCCCAGGCTGCAGTGCAATGGCATGATCTCAGCTCACTGCAACATTCACCTCCCAGGTTCAAGTGATTTTCTTGCCTGAGCCTCTCAAGTGGCTGGGATTACAGGTATGCACCACCACACCTAGCTAACTTTGTATTTTTAGTAGAGATGGTGCTTCTTCATGTTGGTCAGGCTGGTCTCGAACTCCCGACCTCAGGTGATCGGCCTGCCTCGGCCTCCCAGAGTGCTGGGGTTACAGGCGAGAGACACCGCGCCCAGCCATCATCTCCAATTTCTTACAGCAGTGTTTTATAATTCTCACTGTAGAGATCTTTCACCTCCAGGATTAGTTATATTCCTAGGTATTTCGTTCTTCTTGTAGCTGTTATGAATGGGGTTGCAGAATTGATTTGGCTCTCAGCTTGAACATTGTTGGTGTATAGAATTGCCACTGAGGAATGCCATTGAAGAATTGCCACATAGTTTTTGACAATGGTTGAACTCATTTACACTCCCACCTGCGGGATATACCTGTTCCTTTTTCTCCACAACCTTGGAGAGAAAAAAATGCCACTTTTTGTACATTGCTTTTGTATCCTGAGACTTGATAAACAACTGAAGTTATTTATCTGTTCTAGGAGCCTTTGGGCAGGGACTGAAGGGCTTTCTAGGTATGGAATCATATTGTTACATTGTTTGTGAAAAGAGATATTTCACTTCCTCTCTCCTTGTTGAATGGCTTTTCTTTCTTTCTCTTGCCTGGTTGCTCTGGCTAGGACTTCTGGTACTGTGTTGAGTAGGATGACAGTTGACATCCTAGTCTTGTTCTGGTTCTCTAGAGATGGTTCCAGCTTTTGCCCATTCAGTATGATGGTGGCTGTGGGTTTGTTATAGATGGCTCTTATTATTTTGTGATATGTTTCTTCAATGCCTAGTATTTTTAGGATTGTTAACATGATAGATGCTGAATTTTATGGAAAGACTTTCTGCATCTTTTGAGATGAACATGTGGGGGTTTTTCTTAGTTCTGTTTATGTGATGAATCACATTTATTGATTTGCATATGCTGAACCAGCCTTGCAGGAATAAAGCTTACTTGATCACAGTAGATTAACTTTTTGATGTGTTGCTGGATTTGGTTTGTCGGTATTTTGTTAAGGTATTTTTTTTCTTTTTTTTTTGAGACAGAGTCTCGGTCTTGTCCCTAGACTGGAGTGCGGTGGCACAATCTCGGCTCACTGCAACCTCTGCCTCCCAGGTTTAAGCAATTCTCCTGCCTCAGCCTCTTGAGTAGCTGGGACTACAGGTGTGTGCCACCATGCCCAGCTAATTTTCTGGTGTTTTAGTAGAGATGGGGTTTCACCATGTTGGCCAGGATGGTCTCGATCTGCTGACCTTGTGATCCACCTGCGTTAGCCTCCCAAAGTGCTGGGATTACAGGTGTGAGCCACTACGTCTGGCTTTTGTTGAGATTTTTTCATCTATGTTTATTAGGATAATGGCCTGAAATCTTCTTTCTTCATTGTATCTTTGCCAGGTTTTGGTATCAGGATAATGCTGGCCTTGTAGAATGAGTTAGGGAAGAGTTTCTTCTCAATTTTTGAACAGTTCCAGCAGAAATGGTATCAACTCTTTTTTGTACATCTGGTAAAATTCAGATGTGAATCCATTTAGCCCTTGGATTTTTTTTGGTTGATAGACTATTACTGCCTTGATTTCAGAGCTAATTATTTGTCTTTCTGGAGATTCAATCTCTTTTTCATTCTGTCTTGGTAGGGTGCATATGTCCCAGGAATTTATCAAATTTTTCTCGATTTTATGCACATAGAGGTGTTCATAATATACCCGGATGTTGTTTGTATTTCTTGGGGGTTAGTGGCGATATCCACTTTGTTGTTTCTAATTGTATTTATTTGGTCTTCTCTCTTTTCTTCTTTATTAGGCTAGCTCATAGTCTATTAATTTTTTCAAAAACAAGCTCCTGGATTCCTTGATATTTTGAATGGTTTTTAACATCTCAATTTCAAAAGGCGGCCAAATAGTTAAGGCAATTATAATGAAAAAGAATACAAGTGGGGGCATCACATTACCTGACTTCAGACATACTACAGTAACCAAAACAGCATGGTACTGGTACAAAAACAGACACATAGGCCAATAGAACAGAATTCAGAGCCCAGAAATCAGGCTGCATACCTGCAAACATCTGATCTTTGACAAAACAAGCAATGGGGAAATGATTTTCTATTCAGTAAAGAGTGCTGGGATACGTGGCTAGCCATATGCAGAAGAATGAAAATGGACCCCTACCTTACACCATTTACAAAAATTAACTCAACATGGAATAAAGACTTAAATGTAAAACTCAAAACTATAAAAATCCTGGAATACAATGTAGGCAATACCATTCTGAACATAGAACTAGACAAAGATTTTATGATGAATGTACCAAAAGCAAAACTTGACAGATGGGACCTAATTAAACTAAAAAGCTCTGTACAGCAAAAGAAACTATCAACAGAATAAACAGACAACCTACAGAGTGAGAAATTTTTTTGCAAACCACAGCTGACAAAAGTCTAATATTCAGCATCTATAAGAAACTTAAATTTACTTATTTATTATTTATTTTTTTTTTTAGGCAGAAAGACGGGAAGACTTTATTTCTCTGGTAATGGAGGGGTAGGGGGCTGGGGGCCAGGGGTCAGGGCAGGGGAACGTTCTCCAGCTTCTGGTCCAGCGTCTTCAGGTCATCCAGAAAGCGGGTTGGGGTGAGGATGTGTGAGGACCCAATGAGCACCTCCCACTTGCCCTCGGTAACCCCGGTGACCTCATAGGTGGCCCACATCTCTGACATGGCCATGCCCCCCATGATGTACACTATAAGTCGTGGCCCGCCCGGGTCTCTACGCCGGCCTTGTTCTTGTGCCAGTGACCGAAGCGGGCACTGACAGTGGCCTGGGAGCTGGCTGCAGTGGTGGGGTCGGTATGAAGGGCCACAGCTTCCTGTCCAGCCGGTCCTCCACGGCATCCTCCATCACGTCCTTGACAACTGGGGTCCAGCGGAACAGCTGATAGGTGGGCTCCATGCGCTACCTCGGCTCCAGCAGGCTGGAGGCCCCTGAGCTCCCGGGGTTGGTGACAGTGCCTCCCAGCTGCTCCAGGTTGCGGATGAGGCTGTTTTGCACCTGCACATTGGCATGCTGGATCAGCTTGGCCGGGTTTTCCTCACTCATGCCATTCCGAAGGGGGATATAGAGCAACAGGACCCGGATCTTGTCATAGGAAGGCACCGCCGCGTCCAGCAGCACCTGCAAGATCAGCTTCATCGAGTCCTTGATCTTCTCCCGCTCTGCGTCGGAGCCCTTGGCCAGGTCCTGCTCCACACTACATGGCTTCTCTACCGAACCCTTGAAGTGCTTCATGCAATCATCCGCTAGATGCAGGTGAGTAGAATACTTATTCAGTTCTTTCTGGTACTGTGGCATCTTTTTCAGGATATAGGACAGGTCTTTGATGTTGGGATTGTCTGTGGTCAGCCTCTTGCTCTCACAGAAGGTCTTCAGGAGCTCTGTAACCTTCTTGGACATATCCGCGATGTGCAGGTGGCGAAGCTCCGCCCACAAGTCATCCTCTTCATCCAGCAGGTTGGCCTTCTCCCACGCCTCACACAGCCCAGTGGTCTCCTATCTGTATGTGTCCTACTCTATGTCCAGCAGATCATAGGCCGTGGCCTGAAATGTGAGTTCATGCAGCAGTGGGGAGACAGGGTCGGCTGTGAGTTCATGCAGCCATGGGGAGACTGGGTCGGCTGCCCGGTCCATGATGAGCAGCTGTGAGCAGGTTTTCTCTGGGCCCTCGCCCAGACTGGGAGTGTCTGCCTTGAAGGCGTTCAGCTTGGCCAGGATGGCGCGGGCCAACTGGGCTGTGTCCTCTGGGCCCTTGCGGTAGCGGATGGTCGGGTACTCCTGCAGCGTGGCGCAGTGTGGCAATCTTTTGGGCCAGCGCTTCGAGCTGCTTCGCGTGCTCCCCTGCCCAGAAGGGGCAGTAGAGGTTGTAGTTACTGTGGGGGGCATCGAGGGAGAACACCTGGGACTCGTAGGGGAGGAAGGCAAGGTGAATCTCCTATTCAATGTCTTCACCACTTTTGCCAGACCAGAACGACCCAGCTCACTGAACAGGGGCTCGGGGCAGGTGTCGGTGAAGATACGGGCCGCTTTGTAGGTAAAGGTCCGGGTCCCCCAGAAGTCTGCAATCAAGGCCTGAACCGACTTCTCTGTGGGGCTAAACAAATGGCCTCCAGGCTGGGAATGGGTTCCCCCATTTTTTGATGCCTTCAACAATGGTGATGCCCTCAGCTAGGATGTCTGACATTTTGCAGCAGGAAGACAAGATGTGCATGCTCGGGTGATTCCATGATAAGCACCTTCCACTCCCCATCCTTCTTGACACTCCAAATAACTCCACTCAGAATTTTTCCCCCACCACCACCTTCAGCCCCAAGGGCGCCATCTTTCTAGAGGGGCGCCGACCAGTCAGAATGGCTATTACTAAAAGTCAAAAAATAACAGATGCTGCAATATTTTAGAGAAAAAGGAATACCTATGTCCTGTTGGTGGGAGGATAAATTAGTTCAACCATTGATGAAAACTGTGTGACAATTTCTCAAAGACCTAAAAGCAGAACTACCATTCAACTTAGGAATTGCATTACTGGGTATATACCCAAAGGAATATAAATCATTCTGTCGTAAAGACACATGCACGTGTATATTCATTACAGCACTATTCACAATAGTAAAGATGAAATCAATCTAAATGCCTATCAGTGGTAGAGTGAATAAAGAATATTTGGTATGGGCCAGGCACGGTGGCTTAAGCCTGTAATCCCAGCACTTTGGGAGGCCAAGGTGGGTGGATCACGAGGTCAAAAGATCGAGACCATCTTGGTCAACATGGTGAAACCCTGTCACTACCCAAAATACAAAAAATTAGCTGGGCATAGTGGCGTGTGCCTGTAATCCCAGCTACTTAGGAGGCTGAGGCAGGAGAATTGCTTGAACCCAGGAGGTGGAGGTTGCGGTGAGCCGAGATCATGCCATTGCACTCCAGCCTGGGTAACAAGAGTGAAACTCCGTCTCAGAAATAAAAAGAATATTTGGTATGTATACATCATGGAATAGTATGCAGTTAGGAAAAAGAATAATATTATGTCCTTTGCTAAAACCTAGATGGAGCTGAAGGTCTTTATCCTTAGCAAACTAACACAGAAACAGAAAACCAAACACCACATGTTCTCAATTATAATGGGAGCTAAATGCTGTGAACACATATAGGGGAAAAACAACACCCTGGGCCTTACTGGAGGGTGGAGATTGGACGGAGGGAGAGGATCAGGAAAAAGAACTACTGGCTACTAGGCTTAATACCTGTTGGAAATGAACGTTGAGCTCTAAAACTATTTTCCATGGTGTTGAGATGAAATTTCCCATGTCATACTAGGTGTTGTTTCCCACGTTTTCATAACATGATGGATTGGGGGTGTTGCGAGCATTGGGAAAAGAAAACCGAGGTGGCTTAATGTTGCTGTGTTTCAGCAGTTGAATGTTTTTATTATTTATCTGTGTTTTTCTTTGTATGATTATTTGGTTAGTATTTAATATCATGGAGTGTTCTGTCTTCTCCCAAAAAGATGTGTATTTAATGTAGGAAAGAAATGTAAAGTTTGGTAAATACGATGGGTCATGAAGGTGCGTGAGACTGACTGCATCCTACTTTCAGGGATAGGCCATCCCTCTCTGACAGTGAAAAGTGACACTATCTTTACACCATAGTACCACACAGGGCTAACGCTTCCCTGAACCAGCTGGGGATTGTTACCTAGACCCAATGTTGTTTATTGTTAAATCTTGTGGCTTGAAATATCTACTAACTGAATTGGATATCTTAGTCTAGGTTACTATTTTTGACATATGTAATTGAATCAAATGCAGGATACATATTTTAATTTTTTAAATTTACCACTTTATTTCAAGTTATTCTACCAAGCTCATGAAATATTTCACTATTTGTCATAAAAGTGAGGTTATGGCACATGTATTCTAAGATTTAATACATTGTTTCTAGGGGAGATTGAAATATAGTATCCTGAATCTTAAATATTATAGAACTTTTAAACAATTTGGCTTAGTTGGAGAAGGCTGTGGTATATTTAAGGATATTATGTATTCCACATTGCTCCTAAAGAAACAGATTTTTAGGCTTGTTATGGTGGCTCATGCCTATAATTCCAACACTTTGGGAGGCTGAGGCAGGAGGTTTGCTTGAGGCCAGGAGTTTGAGACCAGCTTAGGCAACAGAGCAGAGCAAGACCTGGATTCTATGAAAAAAAAAAAAAATCAAAAAAGAAACACACTTTTGAGATAATAGTGAGAAATATTTGATTCTGTTACATATCACACTAAAACTAGTTGAAGATAAGGAAAATTGATTCTGGAGAAAACAGAGACAAGGTAGACAGAACACATTGATTTCTGATGTAACAGTCAGTGTTTGATGAAACTGTTTATAGAAAGTAAAGCCAAAGTGCCTTATTTCACTGACATACCTTTTAATAACCCAACTGGTGATGAATAAAGCTTTTTTATAAATTCAAAGCAAATGTTACTAATCATGTGGACTCTGGACGTCCCAGTTCACAGGGTTACTTCTAACATGTAGAGCACATGCAGCCTTCTGATCAGTGGAGAGTGAGGGGACTGCCCCTTCCAGAGTTCAGTACAGCCCCAGGACCCCATGGCAGCCCAGGGTCTTGGTTCATGCTATGGAAACAATACAGAATTTATTCACTCAGTAAACAGTCACTAGGGGTTTATGATACCCCTGATCCTTGGGGTCTACAGAACACATCAAGCTGAAACCCTCTTTTACAGTAGACCTTCAGTTATTCAAAGACTACTCTTATTTTTTCACTAAAATGTTGTCAGTCATTCTCAGGATAAACATCACTAGTTCCTTTAACCAGGCCTCACTTATTGTGGTTTTCAGTTCCTTCATAATCCAGCAATCATGGAAGGAAATGGGAAAAGGTGGGAGAGGGATTTGCAGTCACTGAATGGAAGTTGGGCTTCCAGTACCAAGGACTTTGGGAAGCAGGCCATACCGTTTCAAGGAGTGCATTGTAAATGCAGTAAATCACAGAAGTGTTTGACATTACAACGTATATGGACTGTGAGTTTTTGTGGCTAGATGATTCACTGGTATATTTATGGGGAATCTTTTATCTTTTGTGAGTCTTTCCTCCTGCAGAAATACTTTGGGAACATCAGGCTGCATCCCACTTACTGTTTCATCTTATTTCTCAAAATAGTTCTAGATTTCATGTGTTTAAGTCACCCATTTTAAAAACAAAACTAAATGTATTTCCTTTGACCATATTTGACCATATGGTCATACTTTCTATGACCAATATGACTATATTATTTCCATATTTCCTGTGACCATAGGAACATCTCAGGGCATCACCAGACACATAAATTGTAGTTCTGACAAGCATCCACTGATACAGAATCATTGAATGCTAGAGCTGGTCAGGACTTTTTAAAGTCATCTATTCCAATGCTGATAATTTACAAAGAAAGGGCTGAGAATCATAGTTATTACATAACCTGCCCAAAGTCACAACGGTAGTTAAGTAGCCACATTGGGACTCATAACTCCATATGTTGAATTCTAGACCAGAGCTCTCTATCCTAAAGCAATGCCAGAGTTACTTTTTTATTATAGTAATAAAAAGTAATTTTTTATGCAGACTGGGTCTCACTGTGTCAGCCAACCTGGACTCAAACTCCTGGCGTTAAGCGATCCATCTACTTTGGCCTTCCAAATTGCTGAGATTATAGGTAAGAACCACCACACACCTGGTCTTTGGAGGGACTCTTGCTTTGTGTGTTTGGGCTGGTCTTCCTCTGTAGTCAGTAAGATGTTCCTGCAGTGTAGTTTGGAATCTTTCTGCACAAATTCAGTGGATCCTGTGATTTTATTTTACATGTAATAAGATACATTACAAATAAATTCGCAATTAATAAGCTAGACAATTCACAGTCAGTAGCCTATGGCCTACAAAGGTTTATTCCTCTATCCACACATGTTTATAAGGAAATGCTTGAAGAATTCATCTGAATATGCAGATTTCTAACCATCCCCAAGAAAAAGGGAACCACTGGAAGGCAACTTGGGAGGGTGTGTGGGGTGGTTCTGAGGTTGTGAAAGCCACTGAAATTCACACGTAAGGGGGTAGAAAGAGGGAATCCTTTTGAGTACCTACAAGTGCAGGGTATAACTTGGGCTTCATTAAGATGCACCACCTTTGGGGTCAGATGGAACTGGATTGAGTCCCAGATACATCTTTCATTACTACACGCTAGTGAATTTGTTTTCAAGTCCTC